CTAAAAAAGCGCCAGGTTTTGATCTAGTCACTCCGCAAATTCTTAAGAAGCTGCCAAGAAAATGTATCACCTTCCTGGCTTGCTTGTTTAACGCCATCTTTAGAAAGTCCTATTTCCCAAATCTATGGAAGGTGTCAGAAATAGTAATGATCCATAAGGAGGGTAAACCACCACACGAATGCTCGTCTTATCGACCAATAAGTCTTACTCCAGTCATTTCTAAACTATGGGAAAGGATATTCGTGAAACGACTCAACGATATAATGGATGAACATGCTACTATACCTTGCTACCAGTTTGGGTTCCGTAAGGCACATTCCGCCATAGAACAGGTACATCGAGTGTACCACACAATCAGACAATGCTTCGAAAATAAACAGTATTGCTCTGCTGCATTCTTGGACGTTCAACAAGCCTTTGATCGCGTTTGGCACAAGGGACTGCTCTTTAAAATCAAGGATAAGCTGCCACATTCTGTTTTTCATATTCTGGAGTCCTATCTCACGGATAGATTATTTAGAGTTAAAGTAGGAGAGGCACGATCATCATTGTTCCCGATTGAAGCTGGGGTGCCTCAGGGCTCGGTACTAGGTCCGGTATTATACAGCCTGTTTACGTCAGACCTACCAACTACAGATGATGTCACTGTTGCTACCTATGCTGATGACATAGCCTTTTTAGCAGTGGACAGTCATGCCACAATAGCGAGTGAAAAACTTCAAAGACTTCTCAATTACACCTCGGATTGGCTTAGCAAATGGCGTATCGAAGCTAGTGCCCAGAAATCGACCCACATAACCTTCACACTGCGAAAAGGAGACTGTCCCCCGGTGTGCCTGAAGAATAACATATTACCTCAAACGGAATGTGTTAAATACCTGGGTTTCCACCTTGATAGACGATTAACATGGAAAAGTCACATAAAGGCAAAAAGAGACCAAATCAACCACAAATTTAGAAGTTTAAATTGGATGATGGGTAGAAATTCTGCGCTCAGCATTGACAACAAAATTTTAATCTATAACTCCGTACTGAAACCTATATGGACATATGGTATTCAGTTGTGGGGAGTAGCCAGCAAATCTAATATAGCATGCATACAAAGGGTCCAAAACATTATCCTGAAAAACATTGCAAATGCTCCGTGGTTTACGAAAAATGATGAAATTCACGAGTACCTGAACATACCAACTGTAGCGTCAGAAATAGACCGCTATAAAAAACAACATCGTGAGCGTCTCGCCCACCACCCCAATCCACTGGTCATGGAATTACTTGACAATGCTAAAATTGTGAATAGGTTAAAGCGACACCTTATAATATAAGTGACAACAGGCGTTGGCCTGTTGTACTTAAAAGCCACATCCCACTTCACCACATCTGATTATAGTCTGGCGACTGATTGCAGATCCATAAATTCTATAAAAAAAAAAAAAAAAAAAAAAAAAGATGTTGTTGGTACAAAAAAACAAAATTTTTTCTTGGAAATAAATAAATAAACAAACAATATTGATTGCTAAGATTAATTGGTGTTAGTATTGTTCCGTCATAAAAGCCTCGCTCCCATTTAACATTAACGTAAAGTACAAACAATCACAACAATCATAAACAATTTGATTAAAAACAAACAAACATCGCATTGCTTTCAACACAAAACAATAAAAAAAATCAATATTCTTATTTCTAATTAAATTAACACATGTTTCATAGCGTTAGTTTAAAAATCGAATGCAATGCTATGATTACCAAATTTTTAAATAAATTACATTTCTTGAAACAAAATTTCATTTTAGTACACATTTTCTATTATCTACTAATCAATAACTACATTTTTGTTTTAATAATTTGTTAAAATGGAAACACAATTTTACAATGAAATCGGTAGCATTTTTTTCTAAGAAATCGTTGCAAATAGCACAATTTAAAAAATAATAAATATATCCAAATAACACCATTCTGCAGAGATGTGAATTTTCTAACTAGGTACCTATATATCACAAAACACAGACGAGATATTTAAGCGATTAAACATTATTATAAATATTTACATTTAATTTATAATACTCCATTATTTTATTAATTTACTTATAATTTAATCTTAGGTACGTTAAGTTTAAGCTTATTTTTAAATATTATTTGACACTCATTTAATTTAAAATATTAATTTTACACATATTATTTTTATATTTGAAAATGATACTTGTATCTTCTTGCCATAGAAGTGACTGCTCTATAAATTGTATTTTTTTTTAATTATACGAATTTCTTTTACGTCAGTCATTTTCAAATATTTCGTTTCGGAACTTATAATTTATTTTCGTTACATTTTGAACTGCACGTGGACGTCGCTTTTATCGTTCGTTTTTTAATGCCTAGTTAATTTTATAGACTCACTTTGTAGACAATTCAGCGATTTTTTTATTACAGAAAACTTATTCTTTAAAATTTATTAATTTATCGCTCTAAAACAAATAAATAAAATAAATCATGAAATATTTAACACTGTGTACATAGAATGAATTGTCATACAAGTGGTCGTTAATTTCTTATAAATACATTAATTAATTTCAATTTATTTCCTACAATTTAACATTAATATTGTAATTTTAAATTTCCACTAAATATCATTTAGAATTCGCAATTCACGAGCTATGTTACAATGATTCCCAAAGCAAATTATTCGAAACTTTTTATTATTATTTAATAAGATCTACTCTCTTAATAATAGTATAATAATAATCTTTTAATACAATTATTAATCTCAATATTTTCTATTGGTAAAAATATGTGCCTTAAAAATGGTATTTATTCTGTGCCCGACATATTTTTTTTTAAATTTTAAATCTGTATTTTGACGAAAGAATTTTCAAACCATGTGCAACGTGCTGAATCAGTTTTTCTATTATTCGATATTGATATATGATATATTAACTATGTATATTAACTATGTAGTATGTATTATTAATAATATAAAACCTCGTTTTATTTATAAATCGGTTTTATTTCAAATTACATATTAGTCAAAACAATTTGTAATCTTGTGGTTTTTTGAAACCATTTATTTAAAAAAATATTATTCCATTTATGTCCAAAAAGACGCGAGTCCATAATGAGTGGTCATTACTCATTTCATTTTATTTTTTTCTAATGCCCACTCGTATGATTTATGTTGACCTTTCGCGCCTTTTTTCGTAATTTATTTGACACTTCTAGATACTCATGAGTCGAGTTCATGCACTGACAAGTGGAACAATTTATGACAGATATCTGTATGTGTGCGTATGTGTCTATTGTTAAGTATAATTGTGTGTTTGACAAAGTGTAATTTGACCTATAACCGATGTCCAAAGTATTTAAAACGTTTCATAATATATTCTGAAATATATTTTATTAATCTGCTAAAATTTGGCTTACTGCTAAATATAGTGATATATTCTCTATATACAATACCCCTACAAGGCATAGGATATTAAATACACAGTGGTCCGTTAATTAATATCTAAAAGCCCTACGTTATGGGGTTTTTTAAGTCGCAGTTCCTGATCAAAAAAGACTCTAAAAACTTCTCCATGTGGTTCATTTTCTCGATTCGCCATAAATTTAAAGTACTTTCTGATCAGTGTTTTGTAGGCCTACAACGAAAAAAATCGCAGGGAATGGAAATTATTTGTTTCTTCAAAGATAATTATTTCTAAATCGTCATAGTATTTTGAAGATTTCGTTTTAATTGCCAGGTTGAAAAATTATTTCTTCAGCTAAGCTGATTGTGTCGACTGACAGTGTTACTCGTAGTTATTCGTAAATATCTTATATTTATATCAATAGTTTTTGTATTTCCACATACTATAAAGTCATTATCAGTTAGTATTTGGAATAAATATGCATATGAAGTCGATGTTCTTAACTTAAAAATCCAAAATTATCACACATAAATTCTGATCAAGTTTAACTTTCAATTTCTGTATCGCACAATATTGTCTTAAAATAAGTAAGTAAATTACTTACTAATAATAATTATAAAGTAATAATAATAATAATTATAATCTAATACAAATTCATACTACAGACAAAAACAACAATATCGAATCGAAACAAACACATCGGAATTATAACTCTATTTTCAAATCATCAAGATTTTTTGCTAAATTGTCAAACTTACCTGTCAACTATTGGCGGTATTTCATCCGCCATTTTATAGACAGATAAAAAATACAGAATTGGGTACTTGCCAACTAGTCAAATTCAATACTTTTTTCAAACTGTGAAATACGACAGATGTCTATGAATTTTGCACGAGATTATGTATTGTGACGTCACGTTTTTTTAGTGTCAAACAGCATACTTATTTCTTAAAAATTAACTGGAAAAATACTAAAATTAAGTTGGCCATAAAATCAATAAAGTGTGATTATTTTTTAATATTTTATTGTATTGAACAGTCGAAATAATTTAGTTTTTATTAAGGAAAGTACCCAGTTGTAAAGTCATAGAGCAAAGAATAATTCGTATGATATTTTTGACAAAATAGGTAAAAATAGCATAGTTAGGAAAATAAAAATAATCACATCCATATATCCTTGTTCAGTGAGCGAATTCACTTTAATGAGTGTCGAAATCTTTTGTGTTCATTCATAAAATTACTTTTTCTCTCTAACGTTGGTAGAAGTAGGTAGACTGAGTATTATTTTCATTTTCTTAAAGGCATTATTATAGACTAATATTGAGTTTAAAAAAAACTCTATATCATATTGTCTATTCTAGTGATTAAGTCATGAGATCTCGTATACTCAACCGTATGTTTTAATTATTTTATCGGTGCCCATGAAGCAAAAATAAAAGTTGACATAATTATTAATTTCAAAACATTCGACACTCATTTGAGTATTCGGCTTTCGTATCCATTTTTCTTCCATTTTTATACTCATAAAATATTATACATAATTATCATTATAATATATAATTATACGTATAATTTCTTACAAAGCAGGTACAAATTAAGAGTTACAATTAAAAACTAATTCACTAAAATTAATTCGATTTATTAATTGTGACTAGAATAATCTAGGTTTATCATTTGTCTAGATATTATATAATTATGCTAGATTGATATTGACGCCTACGCCAGTCACGAACTCGTCCCTTATAAGTGGTAGAAGGCCTGTGTGCCTGGAACAAAGAAAAATATTATTCATAAATTATATTTGTATATTATATTTATACATTATATTTCAATTTATAAGTAGAAAGTTATTTTTGTCTATACATCAGCTGTAGCCAAGTGCCGTTTAGCGCTTGTCTACATGTAGAATAGAAAACCAAATTATATGGAATTGACGTAAATTTTGACATTTGTCAGTGTCATCCACATACATTTTGATTTCTTCTCTCTGTGTAGACAAGCGCTAAAGTGGCGTTTGGCTAAAGGCACATGGTGTAAACGAAAAGTTCCCGAAAAACGACGATAGATGGTGTTATAAACAAGTTATATTTTCATAAAAGTAAGAAATTAAATGTTTCTTTAATATAATAATAGTTGTAATCAACTGTTCAAGGCTGATGTTGTATGATTAACACGATAACAAAAACGATTAAAATGGTAAAATCAATTTCATTTTGTCAGCATCTTGGCAGCGTCACGTTTACACCCTGTATTAGGATCCTATGCTATCATTTTAGAGATTTCAGAACTCCTTAAGTTAGTGTGCGCGAGCGTTTTTAAAGATAAGAATAATACACATATGTATATCACGATTATTAAGCTTGTTCAGTGTACTAGTTGGTGCCCGCGTTAGTTAGTCCTTCACAGCTCCTCTCTCGTAGATGATAGCGTAATTTTTTTTTTGTTTTTTTTTTTTTTAAAAAACGTTGCCCCACACTTGGATTGTCTCCTGTGTCGTGGGTGCGTTTACAAACATACAAGTTCACATACACATGACACCCAGACCCGAAACAACAATTTATGGATCGCACAAAGTGTTGTTCCGTGCGGGAATCGAACCCGCGACACGTTGCACGGCAGCCGGTTGCCCAGCCACCGAACCAACCGTGCAGTCAATTATATGTAGCCTATATGTTGATCTGACCAATTTGTAATATTCATGCAAAATTTTAAGTAGATCTATGCGGTACTTTTTGAGTTTAGCCCGGACATACATACAGACAAAGAGACAAAAATTCTAAAAACTATATTTTTGGTTTTAGTATAGATTGTAGATTATGCGGTTCTACGATTTTATTATACGTACCTATAGATAGATATAGATTCAGAAAGGATACATTTTCAACAATTTGTTTCTCAATGATATTAAATTTTATAGATGCTATTTTTTTATTTTTTTACGTTTTAGCAATGGACATCTTGAAGCTGAAATGATGACAATGATGATTATGAATAACCAAGGTGCTTACGTTTGAAATAAATCTAAATTTCAATGCAATTTCAATCCAATACAATCTCAATAATAATTCAATGTCAACACTAAACAACCCCAATTGAACCTGTCAAGATAGCATAATTCAGAGTACAGAATATACAAGGTGTTGTTTTAAAGCCGCGTCATTTTCTAGGAGGTAGCTTGGCTAACGATTCTGAGTCCGAATCAATAAAAAAATTGTAGGTAAATATATTTCATTTTTCTAAAATTACGAAAATCCGTAAGTGCGAAGTACACGCCGCCGTCTTGTAATTAACTTTATAACGCGGCTTAACACACACAAACTCAAATACGATATTATTCCTAATTCCATAAAACTCCAATAAGAAACATTGTTGTCGCTTATTCTGAAATACTGTCGAACTCAAACGATTTATTATAGCCGTATTTTTAATTATTGGCCCGAAATTTTCTCTAACATTGAACCCTTATGACTTCTGTGACATGCCCCCGAGAAATGACCCGGTTTCAAAACTACACCTTATAAAGCCAAACTCAATACCATTTCGTTCATTAAATATCCACGCAATACGGATGCAATGGGCGCTAGTGTTGCAACTCAAGAGTACGAAATTTCACAATATCAATGTATTGATTGATCGCAATTGGATTAAAGAGTAAGCCATCTGAATTTAAATACAAGGCTCAGATTTTGATACTATGTATTGTGTTTAATCGAATGAAACACGTGCCATTTATTAATAAACTATAAGACAAAAGACTCCTCACAATTTACTGTTCAACAGTGGCGTGCACAGGTTTTCGAGACAGGGTAGGCAACTAAATATCGTATGATTAAACCCCTCTCCCCCCGCCGGTCATACAATCATGCTCACACAAGATAGGTACATGTACATAATACATTTCGAAAAGTGCGTTCAAGAATATTGTGGTGTATTCTTTCGCCAAATTACATACACTGACAACTCGCGTATTTTTTGTGAAGTACTTCATCAGCTATTGAATAAGCCAACAAAACTTACAAATAATGAAGGATCTATTATTTATTTTAATAATAAGGCATAAATTTGATGAACCAAATTTCATTATGGAATTGTTTAGTTTAATCAATCTGTTCAAAATCATAATATATTACGAATTTAAGAGCGTAGGTACCTACATTATGTCAACAAACAAAACAATAACAAGCGCGGCCGGCTGTGGCCGAGCCGGCCGAGTCTATGCGGTACATATGTTATTACTACATTACATAATTATTAATAATAAATTAATATGTGAATCAGTACAACCCGAAGTCTAAGTTGATATTTTTAAGAATTATCAAACAATAAACAAGAAAATCAAATAAAAGATCCATTATAGTACATATTTACATTACCTACCTTTTACTTGGGTCAATTCTCGTAACTCGAGTACACCTCTGCCTATGGTCTTTACCTGAATCTAGTCCGATAAAGGACATTTTCTTGCGAAATCTTACTGTTTTTACTTTCAACAAACACATAAAATTACCTATTATTCACACACACTTCACAATCGAATAATATAGGTACTTGTACTAGAAACTGATAAACAAATACACTATTTGAAAAACCTACACATATATTTAACTACTACTACACATTTATGCAACTTTATGTTTAAAACTAATTCCTAATAATTTAAACGAAAACATAAACAAAGCGATCGCACATCACATGAAAACAATATGGCCGAAAACATTGGAAACGAATTGAAGTCATTACCAATAGTCAATTGAGTGTTTATTATAAAAAAATGTAGCTTAAAAATTAAGGTAATGCAGCGTTTAATTTAAAAAAAACAAAGGTTAATTTAGTAAGTCAAATGAAATTGCATCATCGTCTTAAACCAATATTTCATACTAAAAAACATTCATTCATATAATTTGAAACGTTGTAAATGGCGCCATCTTGAAGTTTCAATAACTTCCTTTTAACTTTTATAATAATAAAGTCAACTCCTCGTTTAAAATTTCTATAAACCGACAACGCGTAAAAATGTTAAGCTTTAATTAAAACACTTGAAACATATTTGTTAAATACGCATTTATAAAAATACATTCGCATTATATCGAACGAGTTCAGAAGTTTCAACAAAAAATTCAATAGATGGCGCTGATGTACTCCATTCATCAGTACTTTACGATATACAGATTTTATCAATTTAAAACCTTTTATAATTTAATTGTTTTTAAAAATACAATAACTTGTTGCTGTTTTATTGTTTTAGAATTCTTAATAAAATACGATCGTTTTCCAAGTGATGAACGAACGGTCCTCTAATTTTTTAGTTGCAAACATTTTGTCAATCAACAGGAATCGTGTAATATAATTATGAATGGTTATTCTGTACCGTGACTATGGTCGTGAACTTCACGCATGCGCGGTGCATACTTTTGGTACATTTCTTTTGTGACGTCAGTACTACCAACCAAGATTTAAGGAATAGTGGCGCATGCGTGGTGCGTGCGGGGCGCATTCATTACTTTACAAAGGCGCGTATTTATGTTAGCCGTTTTTTTACAAACTTTTATTATATTATTGAATTTTAATAAACGCGTTTGTACATTTTATGTATGTTATATATTCACGATATTTATAGTTAGGCAAAGCCTTTTCGCCTATATGGACTGCACGCCACTGCTGTTCAATGAAGTTTTATTTCGACGATAGCTCATAGCTATTATTTACTATACAATACACATGGGTGAACTTACGTTTGGACCCATCCTACCAGAAACAATACTTGTCTATAATAATAATATAAACAACGCTACGCAACACTATTTAAATACCAATATGTGCGCTAGACAAAAAATGTGATCATGTATTATTTTCCAGGCCATGTATAAGGTAATAAAAAATATCAGATATAAAAACAATACTTAGATAAAACGAATTAAAGTTTGGGAGTGGGAGCTAAAACGTCATTTCTACGTATAAACGTACCTAGAAGTGACGTCACGCTGATATTTCAAATTAATATACATATTGTAGAGAATTAAATTGTCTATAATTTTGGTCTACATTTCTTTTTTATATATCAAATTTCTATTATACGGTACGTAGGTTTTCAGACAGGTTCTAAGTTGTACAAATAAAGATTTTGGACAAGTCCTTAGCAGACTATGTCACATTCCGAGGTGAAACCCTTATTTTCCTAGGCTACTCAGGTAGTCTACCCACCCCTACACACATGTTTATACAAACAAATACGTATGAGGCACGTGGGAGGGCGCCACGTGTACATAAGGCTATACTCCTCAAGTACTGGTAGCGTCGCTTTGGTTTCCTACACGTTTCCTTGAGACAGCGGTTTCCAACATGCGGTTACAATAATTAGGGTGTGTAAAATCAGTCCGTGGTAGTTGTTATTTTTTATTTGATTTTGTATTTGTTTTTAGATGTTATCAATTATTTTATTTTATTTTTTGGATATACAAACTTATTAGTGTTTTATATAAAATAAAGATAATATATTTAGTTGTAGAATGTTGCGAATGTTTTGAGATTCATTATTATTTTTTTTTAATTTTTGACATCGATGTTAAGACTGAGTTAAGGTTGAGACCGTAAAACTGCAAGATTAAACTGCGAAAGATTTCCACCTAAATTTGTATACGCTCTCCTTTCACAGTATCTCCAGTTTTCACGGGACATTGGGCAAACGAGCAGATTGTCACATCATCGCCAAAATCATCAAAGGAGTTGCGAATGTATTGTCATGCTCTTGGATTGGAGGACGTACAGT